TTACAAATATTAAAAAAAATGTCAAAAAAATTCATCAACAACATCTATCAAAATCAAGATAAATGATATCAAACCTTTACTATAAAAGAAACATAATTTAAGAAAGATTTCATTCTACCTTCAATGCTTGTTTATAATTTTTGTATAATTATGGCATTAAAGAGATGGAAAATCAATAGCTAGTAGATTCAATTCAAAAGCCATCATTTATTGATTTATTAAACAAAACATTACAATTATTATAGCCTTCAAGATGATATAATAGAAATGAAGACCTTCAAAAAAAACATGTTCTTCTTCAAATAGATATTGAGATACAATGCTTTTGATATGATGACTTGGAAAGAGAATTTAGATATTTGGTGATTTTATTGGAGGTAGGAACGACTCTTGATGGTATTACAAATGTTTTGTTTGAAGAAAGTTACAAAGGTTTCAACAATAATCAAATAATATGGTGGTCTTTTTGCCCTGAAATCGAACCTCCTATAGAACATTGCTACATAGATCTTAAATAGATAGTATATATAGAAGCAAGAGTGAAACCTTCTTCATTCTTATAAATTCTTTTCTTGCTTCTAATCTAGTTTCAAAAGTCTCTAGTTTCTTTGTCTTTTGGTAATAGTCATTCTAATTTCCTCTTTATTATACATATTTCTTTATTTCTATTTTTTATATTTTTTTGAGAGAGTCTCACTTATTTATTTGCTTTCATCGAGTTCTTATCCTTGATATAAGAATGACAAGTTCTTTCTTAAATAGATGGTAAGATACAATGCATTTGGTATTATAATCTTAGAAAAAAATCTTGATGTTTGGTGATTTTATTGGAAATAGGAACAATTCTTGATGGTCTTACAAATGTTTTGTTTGATAGAAGTATGAAGGCCTTAATAATGGCCAAATAATAGGATAGTCTTTTTATTTTAGAATGGGACATTATTAATGGTTAAAAAGACCTATCAACCACCTTTGAAAAGAACGAAGACCAAAGTATGTAACAAATATAATTTGCTATATCTTCGACTTCTTTAACATATGATGATCACTCCTCGTAGAACTCATTTCTAAAAAGAGAGGTAGTTTCACGGACATACATACTTATCTAGATAAGAAGTGCTAGGTAGAAGATAAATATATATAAATTTGATATTAACTTCTGGCAAAGCTTCTTACGAGCTTCATAGATGCATATTTGATTTTATACATATTTATAGTTGATTGATAGGTTAAAAACCTAGCCAATAAATTAGCTATGTGTTGCAAATATAAGTAGTTTGTGATACAAGTTAATAATATGGCATACATATAAGAAACTTATCTTGTAAGTTAAGACACATGTCTAGAAAATTGGACACATATTAGAAGTCCTATAAGATATTGTCATAGTAGAGAGAGTTTGTGTCAAGAATACATTGGACTCTTGATTGTCACTAATTGTTCAATCAAGTCTTGAGATAAGAAAGACCAAGTTTATATATATATATATATATATCACTTTTAGAAAAAATTACACTAAACATATAAGTCTTTAGTTCCCAAAAATATGTAAAATATAATATAAAAAAACTCTAAATCCTTATATATCCTTATAAGATATTATTTTTGAACTTCAACAACTCATATCTTCTAATTGGACCGTTCAAACACACTCTGATTTTATATGAAGTACTGATATACTTCTAACAACTACCACAACAAATTTCTTCATATCTACATCTACATTCAATTTTCTTCATATCTCTCAAACTAAGCATTCAAATTCCACAAAATATGTATATATAGATTCTTAATATAATAATCTACCTTTTCCAAAAGGTTTGAGCTAAAATTTCGTCCAAAAACTTAAGATATGGTTCCAACCATTACTATGAACAAAATCACTTACTTATTGCCTTTGATTTGGATGTACTTACTTCAACTTTCTACAACTTCTTCATCCAAACTTCAAATTCATCAAAAAATATATGAAAATTGTAGTCAAAGAAGTATTCTCTTCAACTCCAATCGCCGATCCTTCATTGCTTTCCGTAAACGTATGTTATGCCCCAAAGAATGACAGTAGGTATGAAATTGATACTATAACTTTGAGTGCCAATAACTCCTTCATAAAAACTCCAAATCACACAAAATTTGCACCCAATCCGTATCTAAAAATCTAAAATTATTGATTCTAGTCTCTAAAGTTCAAATGACTTCAAAAAAAAAACCCTAATTCCTAATAAGGCCTTGGGCAACCTCCTTGAAGCCCATTGGGTATGGCCTTCGACCAATAAGGATAAAGATCCCCATTCCTTGCCTTCATTTGACCATATTTTACTTTCATCCCTTCCAATAAGCCTCTTATTAGTTTAGATTTTCATCTTTAGGCTCTAATCTCCTCTCAAGGCTTCATACTAAACATTTAAGTCCTATAATTTTTAAAATGTCATAATCAAAATAGATAAAATTTAAAATAAAGTTTCTTATATTTACTTTCTTTAAATTAATCTATTAACCATTCTAACATATACCAAGACTTATAAACATATCATATGTTCTAACTAATTTTTACATACTATAAGTAATTACAATATGACAACGTTACTACATAATTTTTAATTGGATAGTATATATAGAGGCAAGAATGAAGCCTTCTTCACTCTTATCAATACTTTTTTAATTCTTAGTCTTATTTCAAAACTTTTCAGTCTTCTTAACTTTGGCAGTAGCTATTCTAGTTCAATATATTATTATCTTTGAATGATTTTTTAGTCTTTTTGAGTGATATGAGAGTGTATTCAGATTTTTTTTTTTTTTGAGATTTATGTCCTTGGCACCATGCTTGTTGAAGCATATTTTTGACATAATTTGATTTCAAGATCATTTATTGGCAAAATAAAAAAAAAAAAAAAAAAAAAAAAAAAAAAACCCCTCTTTTTAAATATTCTTATCTTATATCAAAATAATGAAATATAGGTTTTGATCAACAACAAACCATTATTTTGAAGCCAATAAAATTTTATCTTTAAGCATGAAATCAATATTGGCTATTGATTCAACGTTTTTTAAACAACTTCAATCAAGTATGTCCTTGAATCTTCTTGTTCATAATATTAAGAACAATTTTTTTAAGGCTTATGATATTTCTATGTTAGAGTTTAAAAATAATTATTTTATTTCAAAGGTTGCTTATATGTTCTAGCAAATGAAGCTCAATTATATATTCTTTAAGCTTGTCATGACTTCTCCAATTCAAGCCATTTTAAATACAATAAGACTTAGGACCTAATATCTAAAGTTTTTTAGTGGCTTCATATATAGAAGGCAATTAAAAACTTTGTATAAGATCAAAAATTTCTTATCATTGACCTTATAGACTTCTTTAGCTATTACTTAAATCAAATTAATCATAGCCTTCTATTTCTATAGATTTTATTAAGGATCTTTTAATTTCAAGTTTATATAATTTTATTTTCATGATTGTAGATTATTTCATTAAAATGATATAATTTATATTATGTAAAAAATCTATCATTAGTAAAGAAATGTCAAAAAAAAATTGATCCTATTTATTATAAATATAGATTGCCAAGGAATATTAAATTAGATAGAAAGATATAATTTATAACAAGAATTTTAAGAATCATTTTCAAGATATTCAAGGTGGACATAAAACTATCTTTGATTTTTCATTGGTGGACAAATGAAACAAGTAAATTAAATTTTGAAGTAATATTTGAGGTATGCCATCAATTACCATTAAGGTGAATGGACAACTTGATTGCCATTGATAGAATTTGCTTATAATAATATAATATATTCTTTAATTCAAAAAATATCTTTTTTTATCAATTATGATTATCATCTATGACTTCTTGCTTTTGACTTCTTAAAAGTTGATAATCTTCAAACAAAAGATTTGACAAAATATTTATTAAAACTATATGCAATAATAAAGGTACAATTAAAAAAAATTAAGAATGTCAAAAGATTAATGCAAATGCCCATTATAAGCAACAATCTCAATTCCACATGGGCAACAAAGTATGGTTATTTTGTTCTAATATCAAGACTGTTTGTCCTTATAATAAGTTGGATTACCAAAGACTTGATATAAATTAAAATAAATCCTCACTACTTAAAAATTTATCTAGTCTACAACAATTAATTATCCTAAGTTTCAATTATAAGTAAATAATATTCTAAATCCTTCTTAAAAGATTCCTTCAAGCACTTTACATAACCTTATTAATCCTTAAAACACTTGACAACCATTCTACACATGAATCAATCAATCAATTCTAACACTCCTATACAATTATAAGATTTTTTTTTCCTTATTTAAAAAAAAAAAAAAAAAAAAAAAAAAAAAAATCCTATCTAAAAATCAAAGGATATATTTCATCCATAATTAAGAATTCATCCTTACCACAAATTCATCCATTCTCTTGACCAAACTTTGTTCATGAATTATTCATCTAAGTCAATGATTCCATCCATGAATAACCTATGTTCGTTGCTCTAAGACCCAAGCATGGTTCAAAGAAAAAAAATAAAGTCCAAATGGTTTTATTGATCTAATTGCACCTCACTGCTCAACAAGGATTCCAAATTCTTATAACCAACACTTCTTCAGCTGAAATCGCTCCCAGCCATCTGTGGATCGATCGATGTTGTAGCTACCGTCCAGGCACCAATTATTTTGCGACCAACTACTAGCAGAAACCGACAGCCACTACTGTGATCTGAAGTTTCTTTTTTCTTTTTTTTTGTTTTTTTTCATTCGACTTCCACCCTATTGGCACCACGGCTCTAGATTGCATCGAAGGAAGAAGTGTGGGCAGAACTTGTGACCCTCTAGTTTAAAGCGGAAAGTGCATTTGATGGGAATGATCCTCTTCTATTGCCGGTGATGCTCGTACTTCAACAACGATGCAGCTGTAGACTTCTGTTACCAGTTCTATGAGTCACCACAAGCGCAGCATTAAGTGTTCCAAGAAGTTCACATTGGACGAGAGAACATGGAAGGGGGCTGAATATAATTAAAAAGAGGCTCCCAATCCACTACGATCAATAACACGTGATTCAAGAATTCGCTATCAACAACGTCCTAAAGCCACCAGATTAACTTGCCTTGAACCAATCGAATCGACACCCCAATAAAAGTCACTCTAGACGTCAAAAACCTAGTTAAAACCAGCACACTATGACTAACAGCCACCGGAATGCTGATGGATCAGCAGCTAAAGCACGATGACGACACGCGCCAAAGCTCTTCTTGGACGAACAGAGAATTTGAGGAGAACAAGGGCGTGACGAGGAGCTGTGGCGTTGCTGTTGGCAGCAACGACAGCAACCTAAGATTGCTGTCGGCGAGTGTTGCAAGAAGAGAGAGTTGAGAATTGATTGCCCTACCCCGTCAAAGAGACAGAACCGGAACGAGTCTCGTTGATCAGGAGTCGGTGGAGCTTCAATCCGGAATCCCTCCTTGTAACTCGCGAGCCAGATTTAACAGCACGATGAGGACCTGTTTATCGTAGTGGATCAGTCACCAAACCCTCCCGTAGCATCTGACTGCACACCAAATCGAGGAAGCCTATGACAGCTCCCAAGTATCAAGTAGTCTCTCCGCCTTCACACATAGTGCAATTCGTTGCCAAGACCAGCCGCTTCCACCGTAATCTCAATTGAACTGCAACAGTTATAGAAGGATCAAGGAACAACAACACAAGTCGACGAGGGCCAGAACAACTTCTCAGCTTTAAAAAAATTCAGGCTTTGTGATTGCAGCCTTAACGTCGCAGTAAAAACACAAAAAGAAAACAGCAACAAAAAGGGAACAAGAGAAAATAGAGCACTCACGATTTGCCGCCGCTTTCGGTTGACAACAAGTAGTTGACTAAGCACCTCCACGGAATAGCCTAGCCGACCCACCGGTAGCCAAATCGATACCAACTCTACTGCAACCTACTTTCCGCCGATCCCACAAACGAGGGTCGTAGGATGAGAGAAGCAACATGCGTTGTCGACAACCACACTACTGAACAGATTCAGCAATAGTAGTATCAGTTCCAAACCGGTAGCACCACTCTTCCGCCTATGCCGTCGACGCCACCTCAGCACGAGTCACCAATAATAGGACTACTGGGGCGCTCTCCCACCGCCGCAGAACCCAGTGAAGATCCGAGCCAGAAAACAAACGGAAGGGAGAGCAATACAACTTTGCTTCAGCTCACCGAGCCGCCGCAAACCACAAACGAAGGGAGGGGGAATTCCTCCAGCCGCAACAGACTGGAAATTTCGGAGCTCTTCTGATTAAAAAACACAAAACAAAAGAAAGAGAGAGACAATCCGGAGCGCTCCAGACCCATGTCGACGGCCAATAACGTAAAAAAATCCAGGAACCTCCTTTGACCAGTACCCAATAGAGTATGTACTCAGTACCGTACTGTATCCGGTCCATATACATTAACTACATCTTTCCAAAATCATATGGATACCAAAAAGATACTCCAAAAGATGCCCAAGTCGCCTAAAAGATACTCCTTTGAATTTGAGATTTTATCCTAAAATTCCTACAATTGAATTGTATTTGATTTTTGCATTAACATTTTATTTTATCTAGACTTCCTAAGCTAATATTCACCTAAGACTAGTGATTTGGGCACTACAAGTGCAATTTTTGTTCTAAAAATACCATTGAGTCAATTTGATGACTTACACTTTTACCATTTCTTATTTGTGAACAAATCAATCTAGTTGCTTATTAATTATATCTCTCAAATTTTATAAAGATCCATCTCATGTTTTATATCTCTCTCCTTGGGCCATATAAGATAATAGATATATTAAAAAGAAGACAAATGACACCTCTTCTAATAGAAGTAGATAATAATCAAGAAAATGTAGTCAAAAAAGTCATAAACTTTAATTGAAGACTGGATCTTCCAAGTAGAGCCTTTGAAAGAAAATTTGAAATTTACACCTTGAATTGGCAACTTTTTTACCAATTTTCACTACACCATATGAGGTTTTTTTTTTGCTTTGAAGATGTAATTTGATCCTATTCACCTCATTCAAGTATAGAACTATGTATCAATTATAATTCAAGTGTAGCTGCTATTCAAACATACATAAACCATTGTACAAGATAGGAGTAATTGGTATGCTTCTGCTTTGAACTTCATTATTTCATTCCATTATACTATATGTGGAAAAAAATTGTTGTTAGTTGATTACATATGTCTATGTTTGCTATGTCACATGTCAAACATGTTTTCATTAATGTTGGTGAATGTTAAACCTTGGTTATGCATGTAGATCAACTCACATATTCAACTCTCCAAAGAAGATCAATTCAACTTCCTACTCAGTCTTCAATTAAAGTTTTCTTCACTGAGCCTCCTAATATACTACTAAATAAATTTCGAACTTAGACTGTAGCTAGAGAATCTGATAGACTTGGCAAAGTATTCCAATTCATTGAGGCCTCTTTCCGAGACTCTTGCACACCCCTCACCACCAATTAGGCCTCTTTGACAGCTCTATTTTGTGCAGCATTAGCCTATTTAATTTATCTACTTTTGCGTCAAGTTCACAACATGTAATGATTGCAAGTTCCCTCCTAGCAAATGTAATCATGGACATCCGATGGTCTGAGTATCGGAATGACAATACTAAGATCGGTTGCAACCTCCACAACACTACATAAGAGTTGGAGCTATGAGCTCACTTCTTTAACATTTGGCATTTGGCATAGAGCTGATAACTATGTGTCTTTTACATGTTATTCTGCACAAAATGATGTCTTTAAAGTGAGGTGGTAATACATCTGAAAGCTTAAATCTAATTCAAATTGAATTAGATGGTTACAACACAAAGTGGTTGTTTCAGTGTTAGTTTGAATCTCTTGCACCTAGAAACATGTCTTGCATGTGCAAATGTATGTAATTGTAACAAACAGAAGGCATCAGAACGAGTACATAATCAGGAAAGAATTGTCTCACTATATTAGGGTTTTAAGTCTTTGATACAGCCATGCTACAGGGTTGGTGAACGCACACAGCAAAAAGGCAGGCTGGGATGAGAGGGGTACTAAGAAAGCCCCAACTATGGGAAGCTCGCCGCATGCGCATCTTGGCAAATGTCTTTTGAAGCCTAGACTCCCCGAATTTTATCGTCAATATCCTACTTTACTGCTAACTGTTCACAAGTTTTTAAGAGAGGTCCACTCCTACAGACCTTGTCGTGAACCCTTTACACTCTACACGAACATGGAGTGCATCATAGATCCACTCAAAAATATTCACAGATTCCATCTTCATCTAAGTTGCCGCTTCAACAGGCCGTCTGCCTGGCCTACCTATAGGTCCGGCTGGGGAAGGACCCCTGAATCCCATGGTAATGGTGTCGTTCACACACCAGTGAAAAGGGGGCTCTGCAGCATTCCTTTCCTGCCAGATACAGCAGAGTTTACATATATTCTGAGTGTCTCCTCTACTTTCCCTTCCCACCAGACTTCGGAAGACCCCACTTAGTTTTGAAAATTCCAAAGGAGACATCGCAACCGACTGGTGATGTTGATGTTGTTGCTGCAAATGAGACATGTGTGCTTGGGCCTGCTGCAGCATCAACGAATTACTCTGGCCCGTTACCATTCGAGGTAGAAAACTGCCAATTGCACCCCTCGTGGGGGATGGAGAGGCGCTTGACATAGGGGTTGATGAAAATGTTGAGGAGCGGGAGGTCATAGGAGGAGCATTGCTCTGCATGATGCTGTTCCTTGTCATTCCATTGAAACCAGGTCTCACACTAGGACTGTGAGGCATAGAATCATTTAACCTTTCTTGGAGGAATAGGTCCACCAGAGGACCTTGCAGAAAGTGCTTCGGTTGTTGAGCAGCTCCATGACCGTTCATTCTCACCGACTGTCTACTAGGGTCAGCAGCATCTTCCTGCGCCCCCCACGCCTTATTCTCCATTTTGCGTCGTTCCTCAATATTTTGACCATGTGAAGATTGAGGACTCTCCCCTTTCCCAGCTGGAGGAAGACAGAAACCTTCCACTCGCTGGTTCAGCATACCTCCATTCTGCCATCCTGCACGTGGACTGGCGAAACCATTCTGTCCCTTCCCTTCCCGTCTCAGTAGAGTCCGCTCCACTTTCCCTTCAGCTGCTGTCATGGTAACTTTACCATTCGGTGAACTGTTGCTTATCCTCTGTCCATTTGCATTTGGTGACGGGGTAGCAGGTGGTGAGGACGACCTCTGTAAGTATGCTGGTGGCAACGTCGAATGGGGAGAAAAGGGCTCTTCCGTGCCACAACCAGGTTTAGGCCGTTCATCTGAAGGCGAGGAATCTCCTCTCGAGGAATTCGAATCCTCATCATCTGCGTTCTCTGCTTCTGCATTGCGCTTCCTGGTGCCTTTCCTTTCCTTCTTCGACTTCTTGATCGAAACAAGAAAATGACAGTCCTTCTCTCTGCTTGGATTATGCTGGTTTAAGATAATGTTGAAATTTGTGTTTTCGTTGATGGGAAGTTTCTGGCGCTTATCTGTATCCTTCAGTGTTCTGCGACAAACAAATACCGCTGAAAGCTGATTGGCAGGAATTCCTGTTTTCTGACTCATCAAAGCTTGAAACCGTTTGAAAGATAGCACAGAGTGCACTCCCACGACACCTTTATCATGCTCTTGGTCTCCGTCGCAAAAGACCACTGGATACGGTGTTGCAAAGCTCTCCATCGCGAATATGATTTGTAAACGGAGACTTCAGAAATTTTGAAGTCTTACTTCCAACTTGGAACCAGTACAAACCGGACAGGAGGATTCCCAGTTATCCTTGAATTAACTGAAACAGAAAGAGGCTGACTCAGAGCAATACATCAGGCGTACACTACTTTCCATCACAACGATCAGCACGACAACCAACTCCACACTCATAGGATCAAGTGTCGCAACAATTAGGCTTCCCACTTGCAAATAGGAAAACCCTATATTTGAGATCACACTAGACAAAAGGGGGGGGGGAGGAAAAAAAAACAGTTACAAAACCACCAATTGAGTATGGTAGAGAGATCTAACTGCCAGCCACGCTTCGATTTATCAGACAGATAAGCGTATCAGCTATTAAAAACCTAAGAATTAAAGAAAACATCCTGCAACACCGTCATACATCAGCTTCGTCCCCTCCAAGTCATCTTAACCGAAAACGATGATACAAGCATGACGAAATCAACTCCTTCTTGACTAAAACGCGCTTGGATGCTAAGATACAGGTGGAATCAAGGCGATCCTCTCAAAGAACAAAAACTAAAGTGCCAGGAGCTCCGCGCATAATGGACAGAGGACGAGACGAAGTAACGCCGAGCCGCAAATAGAAGGAACGTAGTCGACAAAACGCCGAAAGTTCTATAAGTGACTGGATGAGAGTAGATGAAATATTCAGCGAGAACGCAGAGTGCACGACAAACACACCTGAGGGTGTAAGTGACAGGTCACAGCTTCCAAATGTCTTCATACGCAGTCTTCTTGCATCGCAATTTTCCTGCAGGGAAGAATCATATGTTTCAATATGGATGCAATAGAAAATTGTGGTCATCCAAGGAAGTCCTACATTCAAACCCCATGTATTCAATTAATGAATTACAGCATTGCATAAATACCCGGTATATGTCTGTAAAAGAACGAAAAGTCAAACAAACGGCTCCTGTGCGTCGAAACAATCTTTGATAGGAAAGAAGACAGTGATAGCGACTGGAGATGCCTAACCATACGGATCACACTATAAATACAACTACATCCCCGATTAAGTGGGAGAGCGAGAAGAGACATACACCCTTGGTTCAAGTTCTGACATCTCAAATGCAGTCAGTTTTCTCCTACATTGAAACTTTTGAGAGGAAATTCTGCACGTAGCAAGTTGTATTTCGAGAGAACTTCTGACACACTGAACAGATAGAGCCCTCGGAAAATGTTTACGACGTTATATAAATATTCTGCTACATTAACCTCAACTTGAACATCTCCGATGACAAAGCCTGTCTCCGAACCACAACTCGCTTGCAGTAATTGTTTTCACCGATCACCTCAAGAAAACCGTAGAATAAGTTATAAACAGAGAAACAGAGTAATAAGTCAAGAGGAAAGTTCCAAACATAGTCCCGATCGCAGGGATTACCTACACGCCCTCTACGAACACTCAAGCAGAAGGCTACCAAGACTAAAAACTCAGCACGACCATTACACCGATCCTCTCAAAACTAGGGTCTCAGCAACACTACGATCAACACTTCGCGGCACTCCTTGGTGTGGAGTAAAGCAATCCTACGTAACAAACTCGAAACTAGGCATAACTCGCACCAGACTCACTGCCTTACCTCACCTCGCCTCGTCTCGCCTCAACCTTTTGTCTTACATCACAACTCACTCGCACTGCGTCATCAACAACCTAATCAATCCACCATAGCCACTCACCACCCCGGTCCGGTCTCCACTACTCCACAATCTCTAACCCTCCTCTCCTCCCTCAAGCAACGGACGTCATGTCCCATACTCCAATCGATCACGCTCCGCCTCTCACATATATCCAAAGGAACATTCCTGCTATGAAAAACACGCAGGTTAGATCCCCTTCCTTACCAGGCTCATCAAAATGTCCGACACTGACGATGCGAGACGCTGGATCCTGTGGCAGCGAACGGGAGCTAGACATGAAAGGGAGCATCCAGAGAAGCGAACAACTTAGAGTAGAGCGAAAGCTGCATGCAGAAAACTCTCTTTTCCGTCTCTCCGGACTATCCTTCTGGCGCCACGAGAGGGAAACAAACTTCCTGTTTCCCCTAACTGGCTATGGCGATCCAAGGACCGCAACGCCACACCAACTGCTCCCAAAACACCCCCGATCTAAAGAAGAGGAAAAATTAACTGTCCTTGATAATCGTCGCTCGTTCGTCTCCCACCCCTACACCGTGGCTTGTGCTCGGCGCAGGGTCGTAGTCGGATCGACCTTTCTTAGTGCGCCACATCAGCTGCCACGTGAGCTGAATTCCGAAGTGCCATGTCAGCTGGTGCCCGTGCAGTGCGCCTTACGCCTGTATGAGTCCTCAAATGCCCCAATCACAAGCCCGAACCCAGTCTATGAAAAAAGTGTTCAGACTAAATTTGATATCGCGGCCCTGGTCTACCCAGTCTCCCGAGCATCCCCTGTGATTTATTAGTGTTGTGAGGCGCACCTTCCCTTTTCCGCTTCCCCTTCCTCTTTCTCTTTCTCTTCTTTCTTTCTTTTCTTTCTCTCTTCCTTTTCATTCCTTCTTCCAGCGTCTTTACTTCCGCTTATCTTTTCGCTTCTTATCCAATTATATTCTCTCTTTGTCTTCGTTCCTTATTTCTCCATTCTTCTTTATTCTTTTCCTTCTTCTATATTCCATCATGTGTTTTCCCTTCTAATGCTACCTTGATCCTGTCTTAAGAAGAATATGTTATCAAGAATGAAAAGTAGTTGTAGATTAAATTTATGAAATTAATTAAAACTAAATTGATTACATTCTGAAGAAAGTGCAGAGGAAGCATTTGTGATTGCACCTGAGAAGGTTTTGCTGCATATGGAATATATTTACAACAAAACAAGGGAGGCAATTAGGCTATTTGGCATCAGTCACATTTTTTTTCTTTTTCCTTCATTTCCTTTTCATGTAAAAGTATCAGTAAATTTTGTTGAGACAATCCATTACTATATTTCATGCCTTAAATTTATTTCTAATTATCGACTGTTCATCAATTTAATCAAGTTTTATTTTACATGGAATTTCTTTGAAGCATACCTCACCAATAACTGCTGGAATTCTCTCCCTCAATACAGACATGAAAACATCTTTTATTTTATTTTGTTTCCCCTATTGAATGCCCTTTTTCATTGCCTGAAATTTTGTGATACATGTATTCTGATAAATGTCTTGTTGTTCAAAACAAATATGTGTTAACAATTTAGTTTGACCTTGTGAAAATTGGAAGGAATGCAACCTCATGTTCGACACACTATACAATGCAAACATGAAAAAAAATAAAAAATAAAAAATAAAAAAAAATAAAAAATACAATTCAAGTGGTATGGTCAAACTCCTCTGGATGAATAGACAACCATAAACATACTAATCAGCATATCACTGGCTGGAACACAGTTTCATGTATGGATGTTGGGCCCCATAATGGTCTAGGAAGTCATCACTCATATATTTACATGTAATCAAATATATATTCACACACACATAAACACATATACAAACAAACCACCCATAAACCCAAAAAGAGAGTCAATGGTAAGCACCCAAGAAGAATACTGAACAATTCATTAAGTGGATGAGTTCTCTGCTAGTCTACCACTTGGTGCAACAACCAAGAATCCCCCAAAAAAAATCTTTGAAGTCAGCTGGAGGGGGGGGCATTCATTATTCACACCACAGCATGGGATTGTGTCTTATATATATATATATATATATATATATTTGCTGCATAATAATCTATGCAGCACTGTTCAAAACCAGTCTTTCTGTTTTGTGAATGAGTGTCCCCTTGGGTCTAACCAATGTTGGAGATAGGGCAATTGGGACCTCATCCAAAAGGAGGGGGGGCTGGGCTGAGTCAGCAGCAGCCCTGATGACCTGGAGAATGTGCCCTTATGTGGGGTTGGTCATGTGGATGAGATGATGGTGTGATTCCCTCTGGGAGTTTGATGAATGTGAGCAAATCACTGGCTATCAAGGGAGGAGCAGTTGAAAACCCCAATCTCACTTATTTTTTAGAATTTATTTATGCAATTATATACATGTTTATATATGTATATATATATATATATATATATATAAGGTATTTGGGTTATCCTCTTTGGCACACAAGCAAAACATTGCATGATTGTTTTGTTCCAAAGCAATACTCCTTATGGTCACCTCAAATATTTGACTATGGTATACATACATGCACTCCCAGAACATTTATACATAAACACACAACCATTTATATATATATATATATATATACATACATACATATACACACATATGAAAAAAAAAAAAAAAAAAAAGTTTTTATTTTCCAAGAATGTGCTTCAACAAAAAATTGATGTTTGTAAACACACCTAACATTTGAATAATTAAGCATGATTCACAATCACACAAAGCAGGTGTTTCATACAAAACCTCCTGCAATTTGGATGTGTTTGGATTTTGAAACTTCTGTGAAGGATTGGAAGTCATTCATATCACTAAACAAGTTGTTTTAGTGGTCTATAAACTTTGAGTTCTTCTTTGTTACTTCAGACCTTAACTAAACAGTATGTTTTTTTAAACTTATTATTGCACAAAAAAACAAGTCCAAGACCTACAATTTTTTCATATCTATGTGTGTGAGTGTATGTATATATAAATATATATATACACATGTATATCCATACATACTAAAAGAGAAAAATGTTTTATTAAAAATTTCTAAGTGAAGTGCAAAGCTATTTCATGGAAATTTTCTTACATTTCAGGAGCATAAGGCTTAATCGCACTTTCTTGATAGTATCTATATGAAACTTTGCCTGAAAGATATTTGAATATGACAATATTTCTTTTTAGTATTAAATTCCCATGAACTCAAATTGTCATCAAATCTATGCAATAATATATATATATATATATATATATATTATTGCATAATAAACATTGACTTCAAAAAAAAAGTTAACAACCACATAACTCTTTTGACTAACTTATTATTTTAAGCATCACAAATGTTACCTATTTGTTTTTCATATATCTCATATACTAAAGACAATGGTCTTTGTTTGTGTGCTTCTATTTAAGTTTTTATCATTTTTTATTCGTCCATCCATTCATAAATTCATCCAAATTTTTCTCTAAAACTATTAGCCAATTCTAACCACATTTAAGTACCTAATAGTTGAAATAGATCCAACATCCAAGTTTCATACCAAGAACCACACCTTATGGACCTCAATTGTATTATGAGTTGAGTCACACCCCATGTGACATTTCTTTCTTTCTTTTTATGCTATTTTTAACTATATATATATATATATATATATAATTAATTAATTTCCATCTTCCAAATACATCTGAGATGGATTGCTACTCCCAAACCAAAGGGCCTCAATGCTTGTATCTACATACTCTAGTCCAATTTAAGCATGAAAACTAGAAATTTTGTTGACAAAGAAAAATTCTCAAAGTTACATTAGTGTGCTAAAAGAATAGGCAAATAGGTTCAAATTCTGAGGCTATAGAATTGTGATTCAGTTATGACAAACCTTTGCTGGAACAACTTCATCAACTTTGGAGTTTGTGCTTAGAAAGTAGCAAGCTTTGTCTTCACACTACTGTGGGCCATTGTGATTTTAAAAAACCAAAGTAACGTAACTTAAAAGATTAGAAACAACATTTTCATTACAAGTGTAAAGATGTAGACAGAGTAATCATGTGTGCATGTGTACCAAAAAGTGTGAGTACTCCAATAATCAACTTCATTTTATTTATTTTATTCATTTTTGTTTAAGATTAGTACTTAATTTCTCAAAAATTTCTTTTCAATTTTATATTTTTCAATTTTTTTTGTTTCCAGAAACACATGACCTGCAGATTTTTGTAATATTTATTATGTCCCCCCCCATTTTTTTACCCACGTAATTACTATATTTGAAGCAATCCAAAACTTGGTGCAAAACAGAATGTAACTCTGATAGAAAGGAAAAAGGAAAAAGGAAAAACAGAAAAGAACAGAAATTTATTAATCGAATGGATTTTTACATTTGGTAAAATCTTGGCCCCTATTGAATCTAATTAATCTTCTTCCTTTCTGGTTGAGAATGTTTAAATTTTATTTAATGTTTGTGACAAAGTAAACTTTTTGTACAAACTCAGAAATAATTTCCAATAACTTGATGGAATCTCAAATTTCATGCCATTCAAAATACATCTCTTATTTTTGTCAAATGAAAAAATTATGTGCTTTCTATTCTACATCGTTTCTATGAAATTTTAAACAGAGTGATATATTGAAAATTCAATATTACTTAATATTAAGTACTGTTGTCATTTGTTAAAATTCTTAAAATTATCTGAGATAGTATTGAGACTATATGGTAAGAATTTTTATTAACCTTGAGAAAATCATCAGATGGCTGCATTTTATAGAATGTCTTTCTAAATGCCTATCATAAAATGATGAATGTTGAAGAATATGTTACATGTGTGCTGGTATTTAAAGATCACAGTAATTTGGATATTATTTTGCTATACATATAATTGCCTTAATCCCCAATCCAAGTATCAAGTATTTGTTTCATGCTGCTTAAGTAAATATGAGTATATATATATATATATATATATATATATGTATATAGTTAATGTGTATCATGTTTGAAAATAACAAGAAGCCAATAGTATACATGTCCCATAAAATTTGTTCTATTTTCTTGAATACATGTATGTATTTTTTTATTATATTTTATTTCATTTTGAGTTAAAAATACAAAATACAAAAGAACTCTAAAATTTTCCAGGAATAGATATATGGATAACCCTTCTCATACCTCTTTCATTGGCTTTCAAATCCATAGATTTAGTACCTGAATTTGAAATGAAGTGCAAACTTGCATTCAAATTTTGGGTGAAAATCAACAATGTTCAACTCCCCTCAAATTTTATAAGCATAGCCTAATTTTAATATTCGTATTAAAAAAAACGTGTGGAGATTATATTTTTCAACAAGAATTGACTACATTTACAATGCAAAAAGAATGAAGAGTGAATTTGTGTATTCTGGTTGTAATCTAATTGTATATCATGAAGCACCTTAAATTGTTTGGAAAACCTCTATATACCCTTTGTATGTTAAATTGATAAAAATATGAAGTTTATTACATTAAGCTATCTT